CAGACCGTGCGTCGTCATTAATCACTGGCCCCGAGAGAAAACGTTCTCTCCCTGGCGTACAAGGAGGCTCTCCTAGCGGCGTTCGATATTCATTTATTACACATCGTTTACAAAGCCACCGGTGAACCGCTGGCGTTGATAATCGATAACGTCGGATTACGTAACCTCTGTTAGCTCAACATTGCAAACGGAAGCCCTGCCATGATCGTATAAGGAGTTTTCATACCTGTCGTGATTAATGCGAGATACGCTGTATGATTGCAAAACCCTTACGCGCCCTTAACAAGATATTCTCACGAATATCATGATAGGCGTTATAACGTCGATATAGTATCAACACGTTGACCGTACATAGATAACAGGGCTTTCCAGTATAAAACTGTGTTACGTATGTAATACGTAAAAGGGGATGCTCTAGTTTCATAATGCTTTAATAACATATTTGATGGTACAGATGAGACAGTTTGATGAAAAAAAAAGGAATAAATCGTATAAAGAAAACATTCGAAGCGCTGCTGTTTGTCAGGGCGACAAATACAAACTTCATGGTTTGCATATCCAACAAACTGGAAATATTAATTCGAAATGTGAAGAATCAAAGTAAATACATCTGGACAGAGTTCGTGAATTTGGTGAACGTATACACCTACTGCTAATGTTAGTCTCGAGGTTCATAAATTTGTGCTGAGTCGCACAAACGTAAGAATCGAGCCGAAGGGGTCCTCCCGCCAATTCCATTGGAAGAGAATGACACCCTCGTCACAATACGACCTGTTGCGTCCAGAGATGTAGAAAGAGGCAAAAAAGAAAGAAACGGCAGAATAAGAGCGAGGATCGGGGGGTAGCCCCGGGTACCATGGAGGCCGTGAGAATATCTCCTGTTCAAAGGAAGCCGTCACATTGTACGCGGATTCATTACGCAACCTGATCTTTGTGACGACGCCGAGTTAAAGGTAACACCTGTGCCGACTCACGAGTCACTTGGTTTCATGCAGAATATGGAAACCAAGACGACACGGAATTCCTATGGCGTTACTAATATTTATAACCGACTTCGCGTATATGGTACAGTACACCATTAGCTTATTGAAAGTACAACGAAAATATTTATTGTGGGTAGCCAGTTCCACGTAACAGAGTAATCGAAGCCGGAGTTTATGACCTAACGGAAGCCACAGGAAATTGGTACTATCCGGGATTGCCCGCGAGGATTGCTCCAAATATTATGACATTATACAGTTGAAGCAGCAGGTAATAATCCGTTCGAGTATCGGAAGGGTCGGGGATACAATCGAGGGAACAATTAACGGTTACTCTAACCGTGCAATTGACTTTACTAACCGTGCGACCGCTATATAGCAGTCTGCGTACATTTCGAACGGAACGCTCTGGAGAAAACTGGAAGGTGTCCGAAGAAAAAACGGGTCGACGTTCACCCTTCATCGGCTCGTCTTCGGCCCGATAGATTTTAATTAGCGGGCAGCAGGGTTACGGTTTCGCTATTGTCTCAATCGGTACCGGTCGACCGCTTTTGTTGCGAGGGTGCTGTGGCTACGAGGACGATACACAGCCGAAGGATCCCCGAAAGTTAAAAGGGAGAACAAGAATTCTGTACCGCGACCGACCGAATATATGATTTGTGTGCCAACCGGTCGGGAACGAATCAGAAGAAACCCAAACGACCGCGGATGGCCGGGACTGATCAAACAGTCCTGCACATCCGTGTATATCCCACGTCAAGTCAACGAGGAATTAAAATGGATAATTGCTTCCTTCCAGAACCTCGTCTGGGTCTCGCGTTGTTCCAGGTAGGGTCGTAAAAGGGCTTTGATATAAAATTAACGACTACGCGGATATCTCCCGAGGCCCGCTAGACAATTTTTTCGTTCAACTTTATAAATAATGTACCAGCAAAAAAGGAACCCCGATGTTACTGCCATTTTTTCCAACTCGTAATTTGAGAGAGAAGAACGGAACGCAGCCATGGCCGCGAATAAATGCTACGGGTGATTGTTATTGCGAATTTATCGAACGATGTTCGTTCCTCGCTTAACGCGGGGTGCTTCGGGGAGCATCATTACTTCGTTAATAACTCATTAATTTTATTGAGTTAATGTTTGTGTAATGTTGTAGGTGATTCTTCCTTTTGATTAATCCTTTCGTCTTCTTTTACTGTTATAGTGTTAAAAAAAAAAACTTATACGTTCATCCGATAGATCGTAAGAAAATCGAAATGAATAATAATTTTCTTACTTACCAAGAACAAATTCTATTCACTTACACTTACACACAAACAAAGTAATTATACGCACAAAAATTCACCACTTAACACACATTTCTCCATTCACCAATTGATCAATTGAAAATTGAACAATAAAACTTGTCGCTGAGCACTTCGATAATATAATACACATAGAGATCACAAATTACAGTGATTTGTTCTTATTCTTGACACTCGACACATTCCATTGACGAATTCCATCGGATACTCGACAGAAATGTCTCGCGAATGATAAATTCGGCCAAAAATGGAAAGCACCTTGCCGCCCATACTTCGTGTCGGCTCCAACGTTCTCATCTTTTTTAGAGGAAAAGTCGGCTCGTTTTGTCGCAGCAGAAGTCAATGCCGCCCTCGAGGTCGCATCAGAGTTTTTCTCAGAAGGGAAATATTGTCGGATGCAGAGTCCTGTGGCGTATTGTGTGGTTTTATCTTTCAACAGAGTCGTTTGTTCAACTAGTGTCCAGCGGCGCGCCCGATCCAGTGTCAAAGAACGCCGCTGTTCCTAGCAAAGTGTCAACGCAAAGCGTTAATGTCGAGCATGATCTATGTTGTTCCAATTTGCGCGAGTAGCCGACGCTCGCGTTAATTTCTCCCATTTGAAATTGGAGTAACTCGAAGGTACTTATGACGAGCACTTGTACCACAGCAATTCTCATACGAGCGTTTGACGTACTCTTACGGACGAACGCGTTGGTCCATTCAAGATGCTAGATTGACATCGGCACAGTCGAAGCTCGATCCCCCGCGGAGAGGACTAAAAACGTCGGCGACTGAGAGGTACAAAGGCTCCTATGAACCTCAAAGTCATCCCGACTGCTGTCCTGGCTAGACCTATTGGCGGAAACTTATGTCAAGCGAGTACGTTTGACACAAGTTTAGCCCTGTATAGTTGACGAATGCATCGAGGAGCTTTCGTCGCTACAGGCTGGATCATGTAAGTGTAACAAGCTGTAACTCCATTACAACTGTTGGTAGAGAGAATTGTCCAAGGAAGAAGATGGATGGTTTGAAGAGTCATTATCTCGAAACGTTTAGGATGGTCCAACTTGAAAACAAAAAATTATTTTTCTAACGATTGTAGAACCAATTTTTATGATTTTAAAATTGGTATACATTAGCTACCGTGAAACCCCGATACAACGAAGGGAACTGAGCGCAAATAAATGTTGTAGGCACTTTATTTTGTGGCACCGGGAATTAATTTTTAGACCTGGTTCATCCAAAAATTCCATCGAAGTTTAATCAAATTATTCCAATTGATGCTTAATTGTCCAGTATCTCCTAAATTGGAGCAATAGATCGCATTCGATTGAAAGGGCCAAGGAGGAAGAATACCAGCAGCCGCACAATTCAGGAGATCCGCAGAATGAACATAGAATCGGGAAAATTGGATTTCGTTGTAAATTACGGTTAAGCCGCGGCTTACACGACAGCGTATCCCGTTCGAGCGTCTCTGGCCTCGCGTGGTCGTAAATTATTGTTGGAGTTCGTGCCCAGGGAGCCCTCGTACTCGTTCAATGGGGATTATATCGTCGAGAGAGCCCGAAGACTCGCCCAGGTGTACCTGAACATTGAAATTTCGTCGAACGGAGAAGAATTCGTGAAGTCATGGTCGCGCAGCCGTAGCACGATATAACCAACCGTCATTGTTGCCTTCCATGCAGTCAATAATTCGCTTTTACACGGAGATTACGGACGCATGATTGTTTTATTGCACTTTCGCGTCGCATCCTTCGCCAGGTAAGTTAGCTGCGGTTAGGGAAACAGTTGCTCATCTTTCGTGGAGTCAATGCTTCTCGATTGTCGACGAAAAGGGTTGGCCAGAACGTTAAACGAGTTGCGAATAGAAAGATCCTAGCGGTCTTCCATGGAAGTTGCTTTCAAGATATTCGAGGGTCCAGTGAACCTTTCATCGGGTTGCGATACGAAGCTTTCGTGTTCTTCCCTTTTGGTTGGGCGCTTGTAAATCAAACACCGTTGTTGCATTTCGGATAGGACAAACGTTTGAATTTGCACGGAGATTAGAGGGTGTAATTGTTTTATAACGTGCTTCATGGCGTGATCTTTGTGGAAATTCGTTCTGCGGTCGTGAACAGTTTCTGTATTTTTGAGAAATGTAAACTATGGCCCTGTTGTGTTCCGAAGAAATGATAAACGGTAAACTCGACCATTGGTAACTTGTGGGATAAACTTTTATGTCTATAAGAAAATTCTATTCGGTTTTGTTCGATCACTCTTTAAAGTAATATAGAATACTTAAATCACAACGAATCCAGTTAATATAATTTCTGTATCTTGATCTTTCTTACTTTCTTGTAAAAAAATTCTTTTGGAAATTAATTCCTACTCTTCTGGAAATACATCCATAAAACGAAAGATGAGGATATTAAAACTCCCGCTGCGAATTCAAAAGGCCTAGGGAATATTGATCGTCGCGTGGCTAGACCTAAAGTCGTAGAGAGTGGTTATTGGTCACCTTCGGTGAATTGTAGCGATAAATACCCTATGGTTCTAGTTATATTTTGCAAAACAGGAATCACCAGCTAGGGACAAAGAAACCGGCGGGATCACGGAGTAGAACGTATGAATGAGACACTACAATTGGAAGGCACAGGTTGAATAAAGAGAAACGATACAACAGCAAATTCTTCATAGAGAATTTCTATCCACCTGTGCCACGACCGCTGAAATCGATGTCTCACGTATATTTTACTAGGCTTCGATATACTGCAAATTCGTGGCACTTGACGCAGAGCCAGCTGCTTACCGATGGTTATTCAAAAAATTGTTGCCTGATCAACTTTATACTTTAAGATCACGAGATGTTGGTCTTCTGTGATATTTTCGACTTCAAAATACTTTTATTTGCCTGTTTAATGGTGAGTAATGTTTGGAAGTGTGCAACGTTGTTTTGTCAGAAGAAGATTAACGAAAAGTGACAGAAGTTTTTGAAAACCGTGAACAGGACGGTGACACATTTAAGAATCTACGAATTCCTGAGAGCCCGTTTTCCCGTTATTGGGACCAATTAATCGCGGGCTCGCTTCAATGGCCACGAATTTATTTTCACCGCTCAAACAGCGGCATAACCTATACACGTACACGTAGAATAACCTCAAAATCGTAACCTCTTCGTGAAATGAAATATTAAATCCATATGTCACGTGTCGGATATATCGGACACTGATTTATCGTAAATTTCCGACGTAAATTAGCGATAACCGGAACTGCAATGTTGTTTTCCTTTTTAGGCGTTTTTGCCAAACAATTTAGCGGACGGTGCAAATGAAGGCGCAGTATCGCTTACTCAACAAAATATTGATATGACACTCGGTACGTTACGACGTTATAAAACGGAAAAAAATCGCAGATAAATACTATTTTTACAACCGAGTCGTAAAACGCGAAAATAACATTATTTATTCACTTATAATTTCAGCATCAAATGAATTGGTGTTTATAAATTTTTACGCGCAATGGTGCCGTTTTAGTAACTTATTAGCCCCTATTTTTGATGAAGCTGCAACTAAAGTGAGGAAAGCATTTCCTGAACCAGGAAGAGTGGTGATGGGAAAAGTTGATTGCGACAAGGAATGTAAGTAGTCACAAGGAAAATGGAAAATATGCAAATAAAATCACTATTTAGTTCACCAAAGCACTAGCATGGGACTGATTTGCACAATTTGCTAAATAGGAAATTATCTTTCAGCCTCTATTGCTTCAAGGTTTCACATTACTAAATATCCAACATTAAAAGTTATAAGAAATGGTCAACCAACTAAAAGGGAATACAGGGGTCAACGGTCTGTGGAAGCCTTTGAAGAATTTATAAAGAAACAATTGGAAGATCCAATTAAGGAATTCTATGATTTGAAGGAATTAACTAACTTAGACGATAAGAAACGAATGATTATTGGGTACTTTGATAGGAAGAATGTTCCAGAATATGAAATGTTCAGGAGGGTTGCCACAAATCTCAAAGATGACTGTCAATTCCATGTTGGTTTTGGGTAAGCATTATCATTGATTTATATAAATTGGGTCTACAATTAACATTTACTTAAGAACTATTCATTATGTAGTGCTACCTTAAACATTGTTTGTACTTTGTAACACATTTCATTCAATGCTTCTTTGAAATATGTGTAATTGTTACGTAATTTTCCTCTAACAAGCACTTGCTCGGCTCAAAACTGTGAAATTGGAGAGCATTTCCACTTGCTGTAAGTAAACAAATTGGGCATGGGCAGATGACATTTGTTTCTTGCACATTAACTTAAAATTTCAATGTATTTCATTTGCATTAAAATTATCCCTGTGCATCATCCAAATGCAAATGTGGCACGAACTCCTTTTTAGATATTACATTTTAGAATCACACTCCATGTTTAATGTTTAAAATTATTTAAATGCGACAACAATTTTTAATTTTTTATATTTAAAATAGGAATTCAAGCAGAGCTATGCATCCTCCAGAAGAACCTATTATTGTCTTCCGTTCGGATAAAGCACTTTCTAACGATGAGGATGAGACATACCATGGAAGTTTAAATAATTTTGATGAACTGAATGTTTGGGCACAAGAGAAATGTGTCCCACTTGTCAGAGAAATCACATTCGAAAATGCAGAGGAATTAACAGAAGAAGGTTTACCTTTTCTCATATTGTTTCATGCACCTGATGATGTTGAGAGTGTTAAAATGTACAAAGATGTAGTCACGAAGACATTAATTGATGAGAAACGTAAGTGTTGTGATTATAATTGTTATTTCATTCATGCTGCCATGTAGAATAGGTAAAAAATAGTCAAATATGTTTTATTTCAGAAAATGTAAATTTCTTGACTGCGGATGGTTTGAAATTTGCTCATCCTCTTCATCATCTGGGGAAAACTCCGAGAGACCTACCCTTAATTGCGATAGATAGCTTTAGACATATGTACCTGTTTCCAAACTTCCATGACATTCACATAGAGGGGAAACTAAAGGCTTTCCTACGAGATTTGTATTCAGGAAAATTACATCGAGAGTTTCATTATGGGCCAGATAATAACGAAGAACCTTCAATTGTTGGACAAATTAAAGTGCCTACAACCCCACCAGAATCCACATTCAAAAAACTAGCACCCAGTAAAAACAGGTACACGTTACTCAGGGACGAATTGTAATAATATTTTTAAAATACATCAAGACATTGAAATTTTTATAATTTTGGTAATTCGTTTTTGTTAGTTACGTTACAGTGATAAAATCCAAAACAATTGTATTATTAAATTAAACTTTGAATCGAACGTCACTCGCGTCTAGTATCCCCTCTATCGTTTACACAGTATTTCGCTACAATTAAACGTTTATTTAGTGTATTTTAAAAGGGGATACAACCTTCGTGGTCAATTTCATGTTAATAAGTCAAGGGAAAGTATATATAATTGCCTGTACCAAATGTTATATACATATTATCGAAACTCTAACTTGTAAAGTATTGATAATTCAAGACACGTAGATTCGAAATCATCGTAGATTTTTACATAACGCGTGCTTTTTATATTAACTTTCCTTACTTACTGAAGGTGAAGATCGTTAACAATTCTTAACACGGGATTATTAACGTCTAAGATCGCTCTATCTCGCAGTGTCAATATTCGTAATAGATTGTAACTTGTAACACGCGATTTCTAACACGTTTGTAGAATACTCTTAAGATAAAGTGAACACAAAAGAAAGGAAACTCTGTCAATCCATAGGTGAAACATTGTAATATAACGTTTTGTGTAATCCAAGAAATTTAAGCTTACGTTACCAAACATGCCGCTGGCTGCAATAACGGCGTTTGGTCTTGCATCGTTGTATTCTTCTCGATTTAACGAGATTTTCGGTAACTACGAGTTGTTCTCAAGGCAAGTCATCTTTTGATACTTATAGTTAATTATCTTGAAAGTTTTTCAACAAAATCGTTTCTTGATTGCTTACGAGGACACCGACGGGTAACAAATGAGCGCGCGAGCGAATGAGCCGTTGGTTCGATCGCGTTCGTTTTTTCGATAATCTGTGCGTGGGAGTGAGTGCGAACTTTGAATCGATTGTTTTGTTTAGGGTAATCGCTTCTTGGGCAAAGTATTTTAGGAATCCACGCATCGACGAATTTCAAACGTTCGAAATACTTGAATAAGAATAAGATTAGCAGTAATTGTATTCATTTCGTACGATATAGCACTAAGATACTCCTAAGAAGCTAATTAAATAGAATTTGTATGGATGAAGGTATTAATTTTTCTGTTAATAAAGAATTTCTAAGTCAGACATGTACGATACTTTTATGTTAAGATAGTGTTTTAAAAACTAGGGAGATATGATAGGAAATTTTTAATGTAGACAAATTTGGGTAAACTAGGTAAAACAATTTTTTTTTTGTATAATTTTAACCTCTTTGTGGAAAAATTACATGATATAACGAAAAATTATATTATTTAGATTCATTCACGATGTAATGTATATAAATTTTAATATAACGATGTTATCGTGTTATACTACTCAGAAATTTAATTACAAATATTTATCCATAGTTAAACGGTTACCTTTATGTTACTGTATTTAATAGACAGAAAGCTAAATTTATATCTATATGCATGGGTATCTTTGAAGAGGTTAAATATACTATTTATCTTATAAATTCATAAATAATTGGTGAAAGAACTTATGTAAATATTTTACTGGAATTTTCATAATTCTTTATCTTGTATCATATCAATTGCAATACTACAGTGAATATAATATAATTATTAATATGAACGTTTTGCAAACTCAAATTGACCAGAACTTTTTTTAAATAACCTCTTATATTCGACAAAAATTAATTTAATCAAAATCAATAAAGACAACTTAATTTCGAATCGGACTGTCAATCAACTTACCTTGATTATCTGAGAGGAATGTTTTCAGCGACATCTATATTTTGATGAGAATAGTTCCTGTACCATTTTCTAGTTCCATATAATTTTGAATTCATGTATTATTGATATGTTAATTATTAATTTAAATATGGCAGTGAGGTGAACAAGATTTGATTTAATTTTTTATTTGACTACATTTTACTAATTTTAAGTGATAAATATTCTTCAACAGATTTAAATGGTTCTTTTCACTCAAAATATTTTGATTAAAATTAAAAAAAAAAAAAATTAGGCCTACTGGCATGCGTCGATGTCCTTGCAGAGATTAATTTAAGCTACCGTTGAGATATGTTGTTAACTTATTCTACAGTTGAGAAAACGGTAAAAGGAGAAAGGACCACGGAAAAATGTCCATTATAAAATGGCTGTATTTAGGGGTAACTCGATACATCTATTACATTCCAGCAGTACACGCCATCACCGTTTTATCTTGTATTTTAATCTTACAGTACATAGCATTACACGTAACATGGTTTCATACAGCTAACACCATACATACTGCACTCTCGCCACAGTTTCCAGCACTTCCGTTTTTGTTTTTCCACCTTACGACGAAACGTGAGTGGAGCAAATCTGAGTAAGAACCTTCAATCGCAGGTACCGCAGTTAAATAACAGAATCATCCTTTCCAAGGTACAAAGGAACGTTTTAATAAATGGTCGTAGAGTAGATCGACAGAAAAGTTAAGGAACGTGGTTAGTATTTTTTCAGATTGCCAACTGAGAGCGTTTATCTCGTTTCTCGTCTTTCGTCTCCCGATCGCTTTCGTGCGAAAATAAAACCGAATACGAAAGAAACGCAAGTTATTTTCCATTACCTTCCCATTTCAAATATCCTTTGCTTTCTGTCGTATCGTACTGATAGCCAATTTTACCGTCATTTGTTATTTCAAGATATTCCAAGCATCGAATCACCGGAATGTAAATATCTTCGTGGATTGGGTGTATTTTTGTCTGTAATACATCTTGGTGAAAGGAACAACAACAACAATGAAAAATTTCATGAAAACGGTAAACAGTGGCTATCAATTGTTAAACAATTATTCGCACAGAAGCGTGCACGTATCTCTCCAACTTAGGTACAATTAATATTTACATCAGTAAAATCGTAATGAACACCGCGTGAAACACATTGGTTGTATCGGATGATCACGTTTCTCGTGAGCACTCGCGATAATGATTCAAAGTTTCGTAGCAGCTATTAGACATTAAATTATGCTTAGAGAGGCAATCGTAAGAACAATGAAGAAGTAATCGAAGCGAACTCAACGTTGTCAACGACGAATATATATTTGCATCTAGAACGGATCTCGCCTGTTTGTCGCTTGAGAGCACGTTTCGTCATAACACAATAATAACTGTTTAGATATATACTCTAGAAAAATAACGTTATAAACATTCCTTACCGGTTGGGTCAATTAGACGTTACAAACGTTACTATAACTTTTTTTCTCAAGTAAAAATATAAATATTCTCGTTCATAGTGCGATATCTCTGGTGTAAACCTCGCTTGACTTAGTGTTTACGCTATATTTTTTTTATTTTTTTCTCTATTACGCTTCAAAGATAATTTTTCACTCTTATTACATCTTATAACGCGTTTATTCTCGTCTCCGCGCCGTATCCGTTAGAATTATTTTGCACCCCGCGAAAAACCAAAGACCTATCGAACGGGTCTCTCCCATCGGATTGTTGTATCGGATATAGACACGTGCGTACACACGTGTTTTAATTAACAACGACTTGTACTCGCGATCGTTTTAATAAAGTAATGAAAGACGTTTTCTTATTACAATAATTACTCATGACCATCGTTCTGTTTCGGTCGCAGTTGTTAACGATATATTGTATTGCCTACTTGCGATGCTACTACGTTAGACCGCTTCACATTAGGCAAACCGAGACAAAATTTGCGACAGCGATAGCGAGTGTAAAGAGGGAAGAAGCCGTTTTGAACTGCGAAACGTGTACTCGAAAATAATCTCGGCAAATCAAGGGTATCCGCGACGATTTTACATCGTTCGGACGTCTTTGACGTGGTTACGTCGATTTGATTAGTGTTTATTTCGCCCTTTCGATTTGACCGATTTTACGAGTGTCGTCTAAACCAGGGATTCTCATCGTGTAACTCCTCAAAGGGTCAGGGGTGAAAGATGTCAGAAGTTGGGAAGTCACAGCTCGATTCGATACAGTTATTTTTACCGATGAACAGTAATCAAGGAAGGTGTGATTATCGGTGTACAGCGTGTGTAGAAAGTATTCGTACGTCGATCAATTTCCAAAAAAAAAAAAAAAAAAAAAAAACTGTGAAGTACAAACTCTACTGTAAATGGTTCGCCACGAGAACCGTACGAATATTTATTGTTTCTATATTTCTGTCGATTTTTCGTACTTTCTTGTTAATTTCGCAAATTATACAAATCTACAGATTTCCAAGAATATGTAGAATATCATTGATTATAAAAAAAAAAGAAGTTAATAAACAACAATTTGACACAAAAGTTTTTTCGGGAAATTGTTCGGTGTACGAATCCATACCACGTCGACTGTAAAGTATAACTCAAATGGACGTGAATCAAAACACGATTGAGAAACACTCATTTAGATGGCACCCAACGAACACCAAACCTAGGAAAAGTGCAACATGACCGTGCAATTTCAGATCCGCTCGACCAAGAAGTCTTCCTCTAATCAACGTGAATCTTTCGGGCTTCAACGATGGGATCGTTGCATGTATCCGAACGCTTCGAAACGATTGATTGTTTTCCAAGTAATTAAACAATTCTATCAATTTCCATTTAATCGTTCGTGTCGTCTGACTCTGTAGTTGCATCCTGTGACCATTCCCGATCTCAATGTGAAGCGCGGATACTTTTACGCCAGCCGACGGACGCGAAACGTAGATACGTTTGATTATACTAACGAATAACCGGTTCGAGGACGCGTCCCGTCTCGAGGTTCATCTGGCGGAAGGACCTCCAGAGTCACGGGACGCCCTCGCGATTAGAACAACGTAGTTACACTTATTTAACGATTACAATTATTATACATCTAAGTTAATCAAGTTTCTCCCTCCGTATCTAGCAACGTGCGTATTAATTATTTGATTACCTCTGCATCATCCAACGCGTTTGATATCGACTAGTTTTCGGTTCCCCTGTTTTCTTGGCGCGGTCCTTGATCATTCTCGGTGCGACTCCGGTGCGAGGATCGTTCTTACAAAGCCACGAGCACGCGTTTCTCAAGTTACGATTACGGCACACGGGTTTGAAAATATTCTGCGAGTAGAAATATTCGGTTCGCTCGGTGTTTAAGGAGGCATTCTGGTTCGCCGCTTCGAAGTGTTCATTTTCTTTCTTTTCGTGTTTTCGTATAGTCTGCATAGTAGAACTTACCGTCTTGTAAATAAACAAAGAAATTCATATTTGTACACTCACATAGTTTCTTTAACGAAATTCGTCAGAATTTCTTTTCGCATATTTATGTTGACACTCTGTAATTAAACACAAAGAAGTTCATACAGGTAATCGAATCAGATATTATCATAAATACGCCTGCAAAGTTTCACGTTTCAATGTTTACGTATTTCCTTAAACGAAACCTTTGAAGACCCTTGTTTTCAGCGATTCAAACCAGAATACCGTCTCGAGTCACGGAAACAATTTCGCAACACGAGCGATAACGTACAAGCGCATCCGGCAACCTCGATCCAACTCACATTTGCGCATCGCTTGGCTCGTTCTATCACTGTACCAAATGACTGACGCGAATAAAACAAACGAAGAACTAACTTCCGACGTTCCGCTGAAAAAATAAACGCGACGTAAAAATAAATTCAAATCTTCCGCAAAGTTCGAACGTCGGCATCGTTAGTCTTCCGAGTGTTTTCCTCGTCGTCTTAGTTCCGATTCAGAGATTCGCGCGACGATTAGGCGAATCAACGGTTCCCGACGCTCTCCGGGGTATCAAAAATCTTACGGAATATCGACTCTTGAGCAACCCTATCCGGGAAACAATTATGCGTGTAGAACAAGCGCCCTATGGTCGTCCTCGAACTTCGAACAGCGCGGATCGAAAGGAAGACTTGCGTACTCCTCTTAAGTATGTCTGTGTCAGCGTTTCCCAAAATGTCATGGAACACTTCCCAATAGTAATGGAACACTTCGTGTCGCGATATATTCATGCTTGTATCCTTCTATGGTCATCTCCTTTTTAAACTTAAGTGTACGTAGATATCAGGTAATTAATGCTCGAAATATTTCAAAGTTGCACTCCATACGAGAAAGTACATATATTATTGAGAGCAAACATCGATTTTAATTAATAAGAAAAGTTATATACACTCATACCAAGCGACACAAATTTCGGTTGTTACGAAGGGAGAATTAATCACGCTACATCGTTGGTTTCTCGTTAATGTCATCGGTTGGAAATCGAGTATTTCGTGATCCGTTTGATAAGCAATCTGTGCCAATGTATCGATGACCGAAGAGAATGTAGTTGTAAGTTAGGATGATACAAGATCAGTGTACAGATATGCAAAATCGATTTTATTCTTTCCAACAGTTGACGACGATTTTCACAGAACACCAGTGTTCCGCGGAACACAGCTTGGGAAACGCTGGTCTGTGCAATCAATTTTACGCGTAATTTGCCGTCTCGCGACGAATACAAACGTTTACGGCTCGTCGTGTCGGTACGTAGAATAATTACAATGAAATCTGCCAGCAGAGTAGGACGTTACGATACGATATACAATTTGTACGCGCGTATACGATGACGTAAATATAATATAATATAATGTAATATAATATATAGAATAGAATATAACGCGATGTCGTATGCATTTCAATGTATCATAAAATCTGTGTCGAAGAGTATTCTATAAAAATACTTTTCGGTAGGGTCGATCAACGATAATTCTCTGTCGGACAGAGCTGTCCCTTATTCGCATATCACCCTCGTGACGAAAGTCTTTGTACCGCGATGCAATCGTTTGTTACCATGTATTTGGGAACAGCTCTGCGCCTTGGGGTTTAGCCCTCTCAGACACTTTTATCGTAATAATTAATACAATTTTATTACTTCGTTACGAAAATATCGATGAATTCTTTCCTTGATAATAAAATATGTTTAACGTCGAAGTGTTGGCAGAAAAATACAAAATAAAATAAAATAAAATTTATATTTATGTTGTTCTGCATAAGGAAAGTGCGTCTAATTTTCTACCAAAAATGATTCAGCTTTCAAAAGTTAAAAGCTCGTCTTTAGTTTACAAAATTACCTTTTGTCTGAAAGGGTTAACCATAGGTACTCCATGTATTGGGAATTCGAGGAAAATGGTAAGCCCCGTCACGGGGCAAGTATATGTATAATTGATTCGAAGGACGTGCACTGCGATCGGAGTCCCCGCGAATCCGCATGATCTATAACAATGAGATAGGTACCTATTACAAGCGCGCGTGACAAGTGTGCGTTTAGTGTCGCGTTGCGAACTGAGATGCATCCGCTGGACTGTTCGCATGGTTGGTGTTCCACGGGAGTCCGATTAATGCGTTTGTTCGATGCGACGGAACTACGGGGTCTCCGATTCTCTGCACGATACCTTTGGGAAAGATATATACAGGTATTGACGATATCTTGTACTTGTGTTCTAACGTTTGTCGATAATTATCATACCGATAAAATTCTCTCCTTTGAAACGATAAACGTCGAACGAAAAGACTGATGGGGTGCAATGAAATTTTCGTGCACGTCGTAAATCCAACTGAATCGGGCCTGTTCGTCGCAATCTTTCAAGAAACGTGTTTTATACAGAGTGACGTAGTCCAACGAACGGAAACGTTTGATCGTTAGCTGAAAGAATATCGATACTTGCGGGGTAACGTTGCACAGTGGAGTATTTCATTCGAAGGTTTGACAAGAATTACTTGATCGGTTTTATCGAAACGAAATGTGTTCAGAAACGATTGTTTCGTATGATTATAGCAGTTGTTCTTTCGAGATAGTACCTTGTTATACCATTTATAATAAATTCGTTACAATAAGTTTCGTTTCGAATAAAACGTGCTATACTGATTTTGGCCATATTTTTTAAACGCTCCATTGTGCATTGCAATGAAAAGTGCAGTAACATGGTGAGGCAAAAAGCAGACGGACAGACTTTATGGAAAGAATAGTTGACGTTGTCTAAGCTAAACAGCACCTTTCTCCGTGATTCCTGCGTCATAAAATTCCTTGTTTCTTTGATCATCCTCTTATACATTCCTGACAATTTGTCTACAATCTATCTCGTCGGACACACGTGGCAAAACGTAGGCCATCTCCCGAGGTAAATCTCGATTAGCTTCCATTAATAAAATCGTTAAAGATATTGTCTTCGGGACGTTATACATATTACTATTTTGCGTCGACTTAATCGAGCTCATTTTATGTTTTCAGCTGTCGAAGCGTCTTGTGTGAGTGGGTTTGCTTGAACGTTCGCGCGGTTTCATCGATATCCTCTCCTTTTTTTTTTTTTTTTTTTTTTAATAATTACACAGCCCAGCGGCTTGTTTTTTTAATTACGTTGCGCTACGGCTTTGCGTCACGCCGATGTCAGACGGTGGTAAGTGAGTTTTGTATGGGTTTCGTTGGTGCGATTTTAATTCAAGAAAATTTACCGAAAATGTTCCAACATTCAAACAAAGACGTCCCAGAATTCGACAGTTATTGATTGGTTATTTATTTTTTAATTGTCCAGTGGGGGATTACTGTAGCTTTTACTTGTTCCTCAGGAGTTAAGGGGAGAAATAGGTTTAGGGTCAAAGAAAAGAAGAGTTGCAAGGTCAAAACGAAGGATATCAGGAAGAAAAATGATTGCTATATAAAAAAATATATATGACCAGCGATATATATGACAAGTTTGTCGAAATAATTATCGAAAGAATTATATGAAGCAGAATCAATCGAATAGGATATTTAAGATATTAAACGCCTTCTCTGATCCTGAACGATACTCGAAATGACAACAAGTTCTTGTGCTACTTTTTCTGAGGTTATCACTTGACCGTGAGTCAGGGGCGCGAGGCAGCCGAGAAGTACGATCGCAATGTTAGGTAAGTACGTTGATTTGTCTGAGGTACCTTCACCGATGTTTCATGATTCGCTCGCGAAAATTCCATGTCGTATCTTACCTAGCGGTCGAGCCGCGAACAACGCAATGTAATTTATATCCGTGTCTCCTAACTAAAGAACAGAATTATTGTCTATCTCTATACGTACGTGTGCGCGTGTTTGCGTGTGTCTGCTTGTGGGTACGTGTATGTGTGTTTGTTTGTGAACGTGTGTACATGTCTGTGAAATCACCGCTTCGTGTGACCAACATTACCAACGATAACAATAATGATATTCGCGTGCCATCCGTCGACGCTCCTCATTAAGGACGAATTGAAACCCCTCTAACGCCCTTAACTCTTTGCAGCAGGCTGACTAGCTACGATGATCAATCGAGACCAACATCGACATACACGTTTTTAGCTCATCTTGTTCGTTTTCACTTTTAACGCCAATTCACCGTTTGAAATTCTTAATTTATGCCGCGAAAGGTCTCGACAAAACGATAATTCGAACCTTCTACTGCAAAGAGCCAACAGCTCATTTTATTGTTTTGTATACACCGCTTCCTCTTCCCTATCGCCTGAATATTAATTCGCTATTGCACACTCGCTTCTCCTTCCGCGCTTCGACCAGCCAGCTAGTTTACTCTTTCTTTCTCGCACTCTTTCACACCTCTGTGTCTCTCATTCACTCTCACAGTTTCTCTCTCTCTCTCTCTCTCTCTCTCTCTCGCGTTCTCTCTCTTTCTGACACTAATACTTGTTGTTCTTGTTGTTGCATACTTTTTTTTTTTTTTTAAAACCATAAAAATATCAATGCCAGTATACCACCGACGTACGTCGCTAACGTGTATATGTTTATATAATATATGTTCGTATGTATGTATGTATAAGTATATACTAAATATATATATATATTTAAATATATATATATGTATATATGTATATATGAATATCCATAATAACGTTACCTCAAGTATCTTCGGTAGTAACACCATGTATAGGTATATATAATAGGTATGTGTATAATGCATCATTTATTTACGTGTGTACGTACTTCCTCTATGGGCTAATTAACTACCCTCTATCGCGACCTACGGCTGTGGCTTCTCTTATCTTAAGGACCTAAGGGTGCACGACGTAGTACGGTTGGCCTGTGGGTGGGATCGAATGTCGAGGTTCTCAGGTGGACGGTGTTCGGTGTTTTCGGGAGAGCTGACATACGCGAGGACCTATGCTCGCGTCGGGACTACGTTACGGGACAAATCAACTGGCCGTTCAAGATCAGTCATCCGATGACCAGTCGCAATGGGATCTACCTCTGTGCAGTGATGGGCAAAATTTGTTGTCGGTATATTTATCAGCTAGATTATTGGAATATTAAATTTATCAGAGGTGATTACTCAGGCGGACAGTTGTATTCCTATATAAAAATGATTTAAACTTAAGTACCGACGAACATAATAAAATTCTGAAGCTGGGTACAGCAAATTTCTATCGTCAGGGAGAAGATAAAAATTACAAAATATAAAGATTTTCATAATTTCTTCATAATCTGGACTAGTAATTCGAAGTGACGTGAATTCACGCGAGTGAATTTTATATCTAAACAAGAATTTTACCAATTTCCGCCAGCGGAATGGACGCCCGAGTGGCCTTGAATGGTCAGTCGATTTCACCGAGGCTACAAACGACAAGGGCGGTACACAGTCACGAGATTCGCGGCTCTATCGTCCGAGCGTTGAAAAGTATCGGGCAAAAAATAACGGTTTGGAAACTAAAAATCACCGGAAAAGTCAGCTACTGGCTGCTGTTGTACGTTTAAGGAAAAACCGCTACTGTGTTGCTTTGATTTTTGCTTTCCGGCGTGTGATCTGGCACGCCGCCACAACATGCGCCTAAAAACTCTGCCACGAGTATATCATCGTTAGAACTAATCTACTTGCCAACGACATTCATCTAAATTTGAAGACAGATCGTTATAGAGCTATCTCGCGTCGAGTCCCGCAGCCAGAATGTTAATGACACAATGCCGGGAGGATTCGTCCCGCTTTGCAGGTGAATTCTACGAAATTGGAGGAACAATACCGATCGATCGGCGGGAGTGAAATGGACGACGAATGTCTCGATCGTCTCACCGCGGATCTAAATACACGTAAACATACCTTTCCCATCCGAATGTACACGCACAAGATGTCTAGTGCAAAGTGTTACGAGTTGTCCTTTTAGAAGTTGACCCTTTGCACTCGGATGCCTCCTAAGAGACACGTTTCCAAAGTTGGACTCTTTTATGTAATGCGATTCCAGTTCGCAGATTTTCCAACGAGATGCCGCAGAGTGCAAAGAGTTGCTAAAGATATCGACTTCATTTTTTCTATAGTTAAATATTACAGGGTGAATCCAAGTTTTCTACTGTGGCCATTCAACTATAACGAAATGAAGTCGATATATTCGTTAGTTTCTATGAAAATTGTAACACATTATACGGGACATCTCGTACAGTAAACTCCCGTATAACACAAATTGCTACAACGCGAATTCCTACAATGGTTAAAGATAATGCGATGGCTGTTTTTTTTTTATATATATATAACGAGATTCTTGTCCAATGCGCTGTATTCGTGTTATACGAGGGAAATTCTCGCATAATACGATCTTCTGTAACGCCATTTCATGTAACGCGCAACGTATCAGGGTGAACCAAAAATATTATTCGATTTCTCTTTCTTTTACGATCATTTTCAACGAATGTTTGAACGTGATAAAAGTATTTCGGTAGCTGTTCAACTACCCTTATCGAAATTCGGTTGCGTGAATTGTGAAGCTACACTCCCAATAATGACGTAGAAGAATAGAAATTTCAATGTTTGCTACAATTTTGTTAAATTGATCAAATCAGAAAAGAGCAATTCGAGAGCTCCAGAATTATATATATTTATGCATTTATACACATCTTCATACATTTCCTCATATTTTTACTTGCCACGAATCCGCATTCTCGAGGTACCCATATATCACAAATTTAAATATTTTTGTTACGTCTAAGCATCCGTGGAAGATAACGAAGGAAGAAAAATTGGATAAAACATTCGGTTCGCCCTCGTGTCAATCGCATCGTACGGAAGTCTACCGTATATATAGCGACAACGTATCACGCGCGTACGTCGCGGAACTTTCTAACTCGCGAACGCGGCATAGCTGTCGCTTTTCCAACTCGATATCGCGCCGATACTGTTTCGCGACCCTAAAATAGATTTTAGGCCATCGATGGCGATGCGCGAGACGGTCATATGTCAGAAGTATCGCGCGAAATGATACCGGCGAGAGGTGACGAAGGATTGGTTAGTTCCTAACAATATTAATAACGACGTTGTATAGCATCAATAGAGAGTATAGGTAGGTAGGTATGTAGGTAAACGCTAAACAAAGCTCAGTTGATTGTTTCGGGAGCGAGCACCTCACTCGTTTCTCTCACGTACAGTGTCGTTTCTCATTCGCTAGCTTATAGTTGTAAAATTAATTCGAAGGAGCGAGGTGTACATGCGTGTATGCGTGTTGCAACTGCGGAAGTCGCTTTCCATCGTCTTCGCGATGTTCCCCGTTACTTCATGGACGTCCTGTCGAGTCGTCCGTCGCCCCACCACTCGAGACACGATTTCTAGTCTTTCGGATACCGATCATCATCATCCCCCCCTCTACCCCCCTCTACCCCCCCCTCTCGCCCTCAGTCAGGGTCCAACGAGTCTGCATGCGAAATGCTCGTCGCTAAACCGTTATCGTCGCTTTTGTGATCGAACGTTCCGAGGGTTCGGCTAGATTTGTGCATTTTTCTCGTGATTTTCCGCCACGATTCCTCGAGGGTTTCTTGGACGGTGGGGAACGAATGGTCGATCGCCATATAGCTTCCTGGAGGAACTCACGTACTCGATTTTACCGTCGTCGAAGACTTCCGGCAGCTTCGTAGCTTCGTGTCCAATCCACGGCCACCGAACTAATTCTTCGACGTCAGGATTGTCACGAATTCTGCGACACAAACATCAGTTTATTTTCCTACGTTTTCATCGTTCAATGTTTTGTCCTTTATCAATTATTTATACAGCATCTGGTCACTAGATTGGAACCACTTCAAGTTTTTAACGCTTCTCCACGCGGTTAATTAAACTGAAAATAACTCGGTGCTAATTTGAGCAATCGAGAAGGACGATTCGTCGATGATGTAGAAAATGAATATTTCTATCGAGAGTAGCGAGAGCCATTAACGAATGTAGCTGGAGCAACTTACGACGGCAAACTTTTTGACTCTACGTCTACACCGCGAAAAAACCGAGCTTTCTCTTTTTACAGAGCCTGATACTTCAACTAAAAACTGAACTGTTTGCGCGCTCATTTTTCACCTACTCATCTCGAACATCGTACAAGCACAGTTTTGGAGTGGAAAAGTGTTGCAAGTACACTCCCACTCGACGATACAGAGTTTTTGAAGGACTTCGGGGAGAGAAAGAGTTCGAGAAATGGACGAAAGAGAATTTAAAGAAGAAGCAGTAGGTGTTTCTAAGGATACTACATGTAAAATTTGTCTGGAATTGTTTAAAAAAGAAAATAAATTACCTTCGTAGTTCACCATTCCATCGCCATCCAAATCTGCTTCCTTGATCATGTCGTCGACTTCTTCCTCCGATAATTTCTCACCGAGGTTCGTCATCACGTGTCGCAATTCTTTCGATGAGATCAGGCCGTCATTGTTCTTGTCGAATACTCTGAGAATCAGGAGCGTCAATATCCAGTGAGTGCTCCCATCATTATATGAATTACGATGTATTATACAAGTATGAATCGAAAACCGATTCTAGTGTTAATATATTACAGTTTCGCGAAGTTACGTTTAAAATTGGTCTGTGTACGAGTCATTTAAAAAACCGTTACAAAAATAAAAGAATTTCTACCTGAATGCTTCGCGCAGCTCGTCTTCTCCATCAGCGCCCTTCATCTTCTTCGACATCATTTGCAGGAACTCGTTGAATTCAATGGTACCGTTCCCATCTTGATCCACCTCGTTCACCATATCTCGTAATTCCGTCTCTGAAATAGTAACCGATCGGTCACGTGATCCCAAAAGCTCGCCCGTCGCCGCAAGATACGAGCTTAATGCTCGTCCACGGACACGAAAATTAAGAATCGCTGGTTCTAACGACCTGTCATTTTCCTCTTTCCAACTACCACGTGTAAACGCGCGTATAATACTTGTCGTCGTTTCACGGAAGACATTTAATTTCCCTTCTACGTCTACCCCCCCCCCGGGGGGGGGGGGGGGGGGGGGGGTGGAACGAATAGAAAGACCCGTCGCGCAGTTAATTACCGACGTTTGCACGTGCGCCTAGTCGTAACAGTTTCTAGCACAGAATCGCTCCAAAGTTAATTTTCCCCCAAGCCCTTGTCACAGCCTACTTTCGAGGATTCCGCCGTTTAACTCTCGCCTCGTCTTAGAAAACCTTCGAACTGCCATCTGGGGATATTAATTTAGCGAGAATCGCGCTTCAGAAGTCTGCGACGTTTGGAAACTGGCAATTTAATGGGGCAGGCTATTACACGGCTGGTAAAAATGGGCATATTTCGAAAATTTTTTCAATAGAATTGAATGGATCAATCGAAAATCTATAAACAGGAATTTATCGAGCTTCTAATGAGTTATAAAAAAAATAATTTCGTCGCGATCATTCTTAATAAGACGAAGGGGTCCACGGCCGGAAGGACCTGACCTATAGAATTTTTCTCAGCGAGCTTTAATTTTCTTGTCGATGACGTAAGAGAGAGTATACGCGACAAACCGTCCTATATAAATCGGTACTCGAGTTTCACGAGTGATTCTCTGGTATTCGTGACTAATAGACAATTCAGCAGCCAGAATAAAGGCTTAGATTACCGTTATACTTTTTGGCTCCACGTGGGTCAGCTTTCGTCAGCTCGTGGCTGCTGGCCAGATCGTGTCTGCCTTGGTACACGCGTTCCGAGTACTCCCGTTTCTCAAATGATTTAAGGTAACGCCACGAAGTACCGAGGTGAAACTTTGACATTTATCAAATCCCAGTTTCGAGTTCACACGAATATCACCGTGTACTTAACTATGATATCTAAGCGATACTAAGCAAAGTTGAAAAATTACCGGCACCATCGTTTGATGCGAATGTCCTTGTTTGTGCACACGAAGAAAGACCAGTTTTTCTTGAAAACTACACTATTGGGATTTTTTTCTATTTTTTCCATGCTAATTTTAGTCCGAGAAAAAAAATAATTCAGGTCTGAAAGGGTTAAACTCTGATAGCGAACCAGGCTGCTATTGGGAGCTATCGGTTTAATTTGCTCACAGCCGACCCTGATCTGAAAATACTAGGACACGGGCATCAAAGGCTCCGGCAAGAGTTTCGCCTCTGTTAAACTACTCTGTGGTGACACTTACCCGACGGCCTCTGTCCCAATGATCGCATGACCACGCCGAGTTCTGCCATCGTGATGGTGCCATCTTCGTCCTTGTCGAAGAGCATGAACGCTTCCTTGAATTCTGAAATGGCAAATCGTCTGCTGTTGCGTGTTCCCTTTATTAATCAAATTATTCCTTAAAAGTACGATTATTTGTTACTGCAGCGTAAGTTATTTATAAATCAATCCGGTATATTCCGTTTTAGCTCATATAGCATACTCAGCGATGCGATATCATTGCCCTAGCCGATGCGTCGTACTTCGTTCGATAAATTGAAATTTATTAAAATAAATTGCACGCGACCGTTACGTTTCTGCGTGATTTTTTTCCAATCGAAACACGCGTCTCGATTCTTATTTAGATGGCTCGGAATACATTAGGAATTTCATTTGGGCCGTTCGATCGTATCGTTTATCATTGCCTGAACACCCGGTCGATGCATTAATGTGCATAAACGAGCGTGCAATTTCTCTTTCAGCGGTTTCCCTGTTGGGGGCAATCGGCGATCTCTGGTCGCGTGCCATCGCGAATAAGTTGCGAGGTTTTAAAAGCTCCCGGACGCTTAAGAGGCGCTCGTGAACACGGGGACAACGTTCGCGGTCACGACAGCCCCGAAACTCAATCTTTTATGCAACGGATTTCAGCGCATTTAGAATGTTATTACGCAAAGCTACTCTCGCAGATTGAGTAGTCTTTTTCTTGATCCACGTGGCTACTTAAATAAATTATGGGTTGGGTTTAAGAAAATGGGGAACACCGAACGAGCTGATTTGTTTTTATCATAGATATCCTTGGGGAAAGGGGAGGGAGTTAAGGGTGAAGATGACCACCACTGTATTCGGTAGCTCAAGGGCTACATATGATAAAATTTGGCCCGATCGGAGGGTACCCCATTTTCTTAAACTCAATCGAATTTTGTTAATAGTATAATCGAATCGAAGTTATAGTGCGTCCTATTCTATTGACGCGGACTGTACAGTTATTAAAAAATCACTGAGCGCAACTTACCTGCCACTTGATCCTCCGTGAGCCCATACTCGGACTGAAAAAAGCAGAGAAAAGACACGGGATGAGTTAAATTGTGAATGTGTTAACGTCAAATTATCGAATGTTTTTAGACACGTATCGCTGATTACCAGGTGAACTCGTAGTTCGTTGGATCGGTTAATTGAAAACTTCGTCGACCAAACGCGATAGATAGCAGCAGTACGCCGCGCCGATAGAAATACCTCGGTTTGCGTTTCGACTAAATGGGTACCGAACTCTGGGAGTGCTTCGACGGGAAAGGGTTAATATACACCAGCGGTTATCGCCAGCGCGCACTGCGACCTGTTTGCAGAACGGTGCCAATTCCGGCCGAAATTTCATTAATTTGATCAAGTTAACGGTGGATAATTTTCTCTCCGGTAATTACCAGCCGGTTCGATTGATTTTTTTTTTTTACTGTTGAACGCGCTCGTCGAACAGGGGAATCTCCGCGAGCGAATAAACCAGAGATCGGTGCGCGCGAGAATTCAAGGAACGCGTGGCACGTCGGCGGTTAAGTTAAATAACAGGACCCGCTGTGCTTTCCAACGAGCATTTAATCAAACAGACGCAACCACGTACGCGCGAAATTTCCGCGATTCACGGTCCCAGTCGTTGCTTGCAAATTGTTCGACCCGCCATTATTCCCGACGCCCCGGCTTATCCCCATCCTACACGTGGCCACCCTCGGCATTGTTAAATCAGCATTAATAGACGACGGATTAGGGGACATATGCCGTTAATGGGATTACAGGAACATTGACTTATCGGCAGCCCCGCGAAACCGCTGTTGGAATGGCGACTTATTAATATTCCAGTGTAGCAATTTTGCCGCGCTATTGGATGCAACGCGACAGAGTCGCACGAAGGAAAATCGAACGACCGATAGACGCGTGGGCAACGAAAATTCGAGACGCCACCGCTGCGTGGCGAACATAACCGCCTAACGAAGACATCCGAGTAACCAATTCCCTAGCGTTGTCGTTAATGCGACCGTCGTAGAAATAGTTTCTTAGATGCGCGTATGTACCGATGTAGCTCACCATAAGCGCACCGTGTTAGTTAAGTTGGGTCGTGACTCAGATGTCGGGTGATCTATGGCTACAGCCGCATCGACGGTGTTGCAATTTGTACAGAAATAAACCATCCATTCGCGAATAGCATTGCGCATTCTGCGTGACAAAGTTAATAGAAATTCGAGCTGAAATATCAACGCGAACACCGCGTAAGCAATCGTTATCCCAAAAGAGAATTGTATCTTAAAATAGTTACGTATACAGCGTATAAGATTATTCTCTTGTTAAATATTATTTATTACGTGGCTCTTTTGGCACTTCCGCTTTATAATTGTGTATAATAATGTATTAACGCTAAACCTACCGACGTTACGTATAATGGCAAAATAAAATCATGTGGCGTTACGCATTATTTTGAACCTTGATCCAGAAATCTCGTTCATTGGTTAAATGAACGTCGTCTATCCCGTGCTCCAGAAACGTTTAGAGACGAGTCAGTCCAGGAATGACTTTCACGGATACGTTCTTGGATAACTCCCGGGTGTAATCGTAAGCACTGTGGGAAAGGAACACTGTCGGATCTGTCTTAGTCGGAAGCTCTTGGTTCGATGCTTCGAAACTCCTTGGAAGTAGACAGAGACGACGTTCAACTGGGTCACGTCCTTTTCCATCGCTTCTTCGGGAGGATCGCGTAAACTCGTGAAAAGTCAGCCAGGCTTCGCAAATGTACGTGTCCGCGCTGCATTTATACATTTATCCGATCCCTTTGAAATCGGGCTTGCGAATTCAAAGCAGCTTAATGCGGAAGTAATATATGGTAGGCATTACAGTTCAAAAGTGCCAGCTAACAATTTGAATTCCGACTGCTTGTCAAAGTTGTCTGCGTTCGAACGCTTCGGTGCGTCGAATGTTCAAGATGAGCGACGGAATTCTCGAAAAGGGACTGCAGAATTTTGTTTTTCATTTGCGAATTTCACTGTCAGAGAAGTCGTGATGGACACTCGAACAACGTCATCTGCCACGTTCAATCGTTTAAATCGGATATATTCCATGCTATTTGTTTGATAAAAAAAAAATCTTACAACCGTTGCTTCACTCTTTCGATACCCTTTCCACTTTAAAATACGTCACCTGGTGCCGGGAGAATAATTTGAAAAATGTATACCAGTGCTAACATAACAACACATGTACGAGCAGTTTTGTAATATGATATGCAAAGAGAAAACGCACTTCCAACATCGTACTACGAACACAAATCACGGAGTCAGCGTAGCTATTCTAAATCCTCTGGTTCATTTCCTACTCACACTAATTTGTCTGATCTGACAGTCTATGGTGCTGGTGAGCCTCCGCAGCTTCCCATACGCCGACGTGTACTTCTTCTCCGCGTCTGTCATGTCGCGCGCACTTCTCTCGACTAATTAACCACACGTCCGCGCGTCACCTTTCAAATTAACATTTGCCCCGCGGCAATGGGTCGAGCCTCGCGTCGTTACTCCTCTTTTAATTTCACCTGGAGCTTTCAGTTTAAAATCCAGCAAATGCTTCCTCGGCCCCGCGCGAAGCAGTTCTCCGATCCTCGCGCGCAAAACTGCCTCGCCACGCGTCAAACGAGCCAGCGCGACAACAGGACTGAACATAAATAACGTTTATGAACCAGCCAACATCACCGTTTGTTGGCGGTGGCGGCATGTCCGAGGCGTCTCGAGTTCATTCTCTGATTCTCCCTCTCTCGAAAGATTGGTCGCGCGCATACCAAGCAGGCGACAGTTCTCGCGGCTGTCAACCGTCGCTCAGGATGGACCAGCGGCCGATCATCTTCCGTTTTGGCGAATACGTCCTGGGAAAGTCAAAGACCCCACCTCGGTACCTGTCGCCCGTTTCCGACGAATTAGGAAAGACCCACTCGCGACCGACTGCGCATTATTCGAGCGAAGATAAAAGTACGCGCGGGCTATTCGCGCAACCTTCGGCTGTTTTTAACTTGTCAGCGGTCCCCGACGATTGGCTGGCGATCTCCACTTTATTTACTTCTCCCTTCGCGCCTTTCCTCTCGCATTTTGCGTGTTTAATGGCATGTCTCTCGTGTCGATGGCTCGGTCTGCCAAATGGCAAGCGTTACGGGACGATTTTTATTGAAAAATCGAGCGAGCATCTTGCACGATACACCTGACGGTAACTGTTTCCGACTGCTGGTGACTATGCTTTGGAGAATCTTTGAAATTATTTACTCGATGCCCGCGCCCAAACACATTTTCATTTTTTTCGTTTTATGTGCCAAAGTGTCCTCTGGTCGTTTTATTCGAGGGAAAGATATTTTCGACCGCAGACGGAAAATTCTCAAGTGTTCTCAAATAGAATATGTCAAAACATTCTGTTTGTTTACTTGCTCACTTGGTGTACAAGATAAAGGAATGCGTGCATACAGTTAATCCCATCAATATAGCACCTTCTATGTTTATGAAGAAGTTTGACTGAATTAAATAACAGTTTTGGTATTACCAAATGCATGATATATATTTATATATACATCAACGTATTTATTGGATTGATTGAATATTTATGGGACTGACTGTATATTGTTAGTCCGTCTGGTATTCGACGAGCTACATCTGCGAGCAATAATAATATATTTTCTCAAATAGAAATAAAACGATTCTAATGGATAAAATAAATTTCGTATAGTACTAAGGTTTCAAACAACATTATTAAATTTAAATACGTATAAATCTTCAAATGTAATTACAAAATTCAGCGAAGCAAAAAGCGGAGAAATTTCGAGTTCTAAAAAAAAAAGGTGTACAGTTTACCAGACACCGCCTTGAGCATGATCTTTGGAACGCGAGACGTCCGGCACGCCGACGCTCTGAATCAAGCTTGTCGCGCATGATTTAGGCGGGCATCGACTGCGATTACGAGGACCCACCGTAAATATGTTAGTCAGGCTAACTTTGGCCGATCTTATTATTGCATCAATCTTTCTTTAGGATGCGTCGTACGCCAACGAGATTCGAGACTCTTGAACTGCGATCGTTGTCTCGCGCTTGTTGTGCCCTGGCAAACTACATGACAGGAAATTCGATCGAATGTAAGTACTTTGTCGTGTCAAAGCAGCGATTAAAATAGTACGATATCGTGCTTGTTAGTTAGAATGTTTTCAATATGTTAGGTAATTTACAAACGCAGACACGAAGCTTGTCGGAATCCATAATGAAAAGTATTTCTGTATATTTCTAATAGATTTAGGTACTTCTTGAAAGCATAGCGAAGGCAGAAACAGAGAAATCGAAAATATTTAATAAGTGCGTTCACAGTTTAATTAAAATATTTACAACGTTGATTAGATTGATTAGGTAACGAGGTCCTATTATTTTTCTCAGCGTGTGTCTAAACGTGTAAGAGACAGGCTTGTTAAAACTATTTCAGGAGCACCGCATCGAAAGATCACGGCCGTCCTGACCCACTCCGTCGCACGTGTCTCCTGTGAATTACTTAAAATGCATTCGCGCAGGACCAGCTATTTTTAAAAGTCTTTGGTCTCGATACAAATATCGGCGCCACGCGTCGAGAAACACGACACACGGGGGACGATTCAGATAATGGATGGCTGGTTCTACGATCCGATTGTACGTTGGGTCGGTGAATTAACCTTTGCTTACGACATTCACGGAAGTTAAGCGCTTCTTTACCAATTGAATCCGTTTACGGTAAGTATTCAATCGCATGTAATGTCGAGCACGCGAGGATACTGTGTCGTTGCACTGCATTTGTTGAAGGAAACAGACCTCACGCACACGGGCAGTGCTCACGAATTTAGTTAGAAAAATGGGACATTGAATTTCAAATATAAAAGTACGTTGCTTAAATCTGAAATGGTATTACACACAGTATTTGAGTTACAAATCGTCTCCGTTTCCGTTTTCAAACACGTGCTACCATCTAATGGGAACGAGCGGTCTAGGTTGACCGCGTCTGATCATGAGCGTCTGCTTCTACTGCGGTCGGTCTGGTCGGCATTCGCAGTACTCACTGCTCGTTCTACACGAAATCGATCGTTCTTCCACTGGATATCGAAATTTTTTATCGGAATGAAGAAACGATTCGAATGTCATACGCGTAACAATTATTTTTTTTTTAATTCTATCACACGGACTGTAATATTTTTTAATCTTCAATGAAATGCGATTTTCATTTTTTTGCTCTGCAGGTAACGAATAATTTCTCGCCTCATTAATAAAATCAATTTTCGCCAGCTAAACAAGTATAGAAATGATTCCTTGTTGAAATAGTCACCGGAGATAACTACCTAATATTTAAAAGGAAACTACAACTTTTTAAGACTGCGCTTAACGCTGTAGCGTAAGCGATGATAAAAAGTGACGTTACTCACCAGATTGATGGTAACGATGAGGTCGTATTGCTGCCTCTGGCCCTTCTTCTTGTTCTTTCCAGTTTTTACGGAAGCTGCTTTCGGCGTGACCTTCACCTGTCCTTTCTGAGCAGTTGGTTTCTGAGCCGGTTTCGCTGCGCTTTTTGCACCAGGAGGAACCTTCTGTCCAGGCGTCAACGGCGCCTTTTGACCCGTGGAGCCCTTCTGGTTCACGTGGCCGACTCCGTCCGCTGGTTTGTTGCGAGCCTATCGCCGGAAATAAAAGACCACTGGTTAGACTCGTCGGGTAATCGATAATCGAAGACACTTTCACCGGAAAATATCGACGGTTCGTTTCCCGCGCGAACCAACGAACGGAACTTGGGGGATAATCGTGGCGATCTGCGCTCCCGATGGAACTTCCTTTTTAATCGTTCGACGATTAAAGGAACGTCGACGAATACCGAAGGGGTTCGGTTGCGCTTTGGAGAATCCCTCCTCCGTCCCTCGCGTTGCCAGCAACGTTCCACGGTTTAACGAGGTTTCAATTGCGCGATCAAATAATTTGTTTCCCGACTTTGCTTTTAATCGCTCGAACGTGCGAAACGGTCTTCGATCAGCTTCGAAACGGACTACGATCGAGCACTATGCAACTGGGTCATTCCGTCTGAATGGCGACTGAATCGATCACTTCCTGCGATCCGTAATTCAGGTATGGTGTATTTCATGTAAATTAGGGTTTAAGTCATAGATGGTTCGGAATTTGTTTGGGAAGTAGAAGACGTAGAGTTCTGTGATTTTTTTACGAAGGAGAATGAATTTACCTTACAAATGAATTTTTCTGTTCAAGATAATGAATCGTATCAAATTACCATTTTTATATTTTAGTTTAATTTGAAATTTCCCTTCCATCTTAAATTGCTTCATATGGGATCGTTTTCATTTTTGCTTGTAAAATGGTAAATCCAAGCAACAGCAGCGTGTTTCTGGAAGCTTTCTCTATAAAATATGATTCTTTTTAGGGTGAGCATTATTTCGTTACCAACGTAACGAGCTGTCGCAAGTTGAGGGGTGCGGACGCAGTTAAAGGATTTCAGAGAGTTATTGGAGTTGGAATTTCAGAGAGTAGCGACTCGAGAAACGTTCTCAAAGAAGATCGTTAGTGGTTGCGTTTCCTCGTGGGAAATGTTCGCCTGGATTTACGAGCTCGAGCACTAGCCAGACAAAGCGAGCACCAGGAATTGCAAAAATATCGTTGTTTACCGATCCCGCATTGTGTATTCCCAAAAGCAAAACTGGGGCATCGCCGATTACGGATCTCTTTGGTTCCCCCGCAAAGTTATCTCCGATATCCTGTGCCTCCCTCGCCTATCTCGCCTATGTACAAAGCTACGATTTAATCGCGCTTATGCCTAAATCGCAGCCTAGCTTTTGTATATTTATCTTGAATTCAAGGTTCATTTCTAAAAGGTTTTTAAATGGAGCTTTGGGAACTTGTTTCTTAATAGAACACAAACGTTATGAGAATTTTTAAGCGAAGATACATACGATTATAATTAAACGTGAACATGTTTGTTAAATTATTTTAATATTCGTACGATTATAGATAGCGTTCCTAAGAAAAACGATAAAATATATTCACTAGCAAGATGATAGACGTAAATATGCCTAACCAGTCAGTAGAATATACCCATGCTATACCAGACAGTTGCTTACTAAGCGGTAGAATGTGCCCATCGACAACCAGACACCAGAATATTGAGAACACTACAGAAAAGTACACTCGATTACAATCGAACACGAAGTTGGCATACTTGTAACAATTACATTCACATTTATCCCGATTTCAGAATTACGCCCAACCTTTTCGATGCTCCAATTGTCGTTTATTTTTATAACATATTTAAAGGATAATTCACTTTTCAATCTATCGTACTAATAGCCTGTATAACGAAATGAACCTTCCCGAAGATGAAACGTGTACGAGTGCATTACGTGGAAATGATGAAGAGATTAATTTCACGAACTCCGCTATCTCGTTGTCGTCCGAACCGTACACGAGTCGCACACAGGCACACACAATTGGAGACACGCTAATCGCTCCAGTTCTCTGTCCCGCGTTTTGCAATTAGTCATTTCTCGGATCGAGCTTGCCCGTGGCCCGCGAGGAGCTTTAATCGAAGAAAGGTTTTCCAATATGTCGGACCGATGGGAACGCCCGGCGGTTCGCTAACGAGAAACGAGCCATAGAGAAAAATGAGGCTGCCTTCGACGGCGGGGACAACGAGGGCCCGCCCTTCGCGAGCCTCTGGTCGGCACACAAAAATTCGTTTTTCCCGACGAGATAAAAATCTGACGTCGCGGGTGGAACAATACCCTTAATCACGAGTAGGGGATCTGAGCGAGCGTTGTGTCAACATTACTCGGGATGGGATGCACCGTACGCCATTGTCCACGGGTCTCTGCTAATGACACAACGCGGAACGATGCACGGTAATTTCCCGTAGATTTTAGTCGTCCGTCGCCGAGACCATTGTTTCGTTCTTTTCACCGTTTCGTTACCGGAATATCAATCGTTCAACTCCGTCATCAACGCGAAAACCTTTATGACGCTACTAGTAGATCCCCCCCCCCCCCGTGTTTCGTCCTAATAATTACGATGCAATCGACTGCAAATTATTCGATGTCTCTAACTATATTTATTTAAATATTCTTATACGTTGAAGTAGCTTATATACAAAATATATATTCTCGTGTTCCGTGGCATAGGGAGGCTATTTTTTTTAGAATTTGAATCGTAACGTCGTTTAAAAGAATACAAAAATAATTACAGAAATTTATTTAGCAGACAAGTACTGGCACACCTTGCGTACGAAATTAAATAACTCTTTTGAAATTGCACAAAAATTTATCAGACGGATTTCAAATTTGTCTGATTATTATCAATCAGGATTTGTCGATTACCCAATAATCGGCTCTGCCAGCTAAATAATGATCTCCATAGCAACGACGAATCGACCGTTTCTATCGCGACAATTCACGCGATGTAAAAGTAAAACAAAGCCTTTGGGATAATCGACGGGGGAACGGGTGGGTTCCAATTGAAAATCTTTAGGGTCGTCGCAAAGGGGAGGAGCCGATCGATGCGGTTCGAGATTGTAAATCGAATATCGCCGTTATCGCGGCATGAACCGATGGGAGGAAGTCCGCGAACCGGGACAGACAATCTCGTTGATTCAGATCTCTGGAAACGAGTCCGACTCCAATGGCGTCCAAGACCATCCATAGGGGATAAATCGAGTTAGTCGATGCAAACTGTCGGTGAAACTGGAGTCCCCTGTCGAGCCTGCCAGGAAGAACCTTGATATCCATGATGGCACGCCTAGATGACGCTTTCAACGATCCCCGTATTAATCCTTGGCTGTCCAAGTGTCCAACGCGTTGACGGACTGACAAGTCTGACCATTTTTCACAGGGAATTTATTTATTTTAAATAGCGAAGATTTAGTTGGTACGTTTATTTTCTCGGTTCGTATCGGCTAACAAAGATTTGAATCGTGATTTACAAAAATAAAGTTGCTAGATCGTGTAATAAATTACTTATTTGAAAGGGAGATCAGTAAGTAAAATTTAACAGCATACGGGAAGCCTTTATTATAATAGCCTATAGTTTGTTATTAAAATCCAAAATAACGAAGCTTCTTTTGGAAATCCGATTAATTCACTTTGCTGGCCTACGCACGCTCTGAGCTCATCAACGACCTATCGAGACCAGGAAAGCAGCTTCTAGGTGATCGTTGGCGGCCGATAGAGATCGAAGGGAACGATGGCGTACGTGGAAGTTCGTCGACCGTACGCCCAATTACGCGGCAAGGTAGACCACGGTTTAAATATAGCCCGACTCAAGAGGTACACAATTGGTATTGGACGTTCTAAATATAACGCGAGTTTATTCAAATAATAATTCAACGGCGAGGCATGGACCGCGTGGGTGGAACTGACGAGATAATTATAGACGTTTGCTGTCTACCGCGTTCTCACGAAAAGCGCTATACATCACCGGAACACGCGGCGTGGAAAAATCATAGCAAGAGCTGCACTTTGCTCCCGTTTTCACGGCGTCGAGGTGGGACAACAAAAGTTTTCCGCCACGCTACGTCGCGCCAGGTTGCGTCGTTACGCAACGACGACCGCCAGATGCTGCATAGAAACGAGAGGATTTTTAGTAGAATTTTAATCATCGTCTGACAATAGGATGTCGCGAATCCTCTCAGGAGGAGCATTCTCAAAGCTTTCGCATCCTTTTACAAGTACTTCGCACATTGAAACAGAAAAACAGAGGAAAAAATGAAAACTGAAGTCGTTCATGGTACATCGATAATTCGGTATTAATTATTTTTTCATTAATTATACTGTTTCAGAAGCATTACTTTATAATTTGTAGACGAAAGTATGACTTGGGTGTCATAAAGAGAACGTTCGTTTTTTTAAATAATAATTAAAAGATATGCCTGAATTAATTCAGAATAATTGTCTTACATTATAGTTTTATTCTTCAAAATTATAATGAAATTACGTATAAGACGTCTTGTTTGTCAATTTACTTTCCATATTTTCCACCGATTTTGAGAATCATCTCTTATTGCCAAATCATGAACTGATTATACGAGCATAAAAATTTATTAGCCCATAAACGACGTGTGCGTCCCTGTACGGGCGCGTAAAATGTATCCGCTCATAACTGAGCGTTTCCATATGGATACGTTTACTTTGGAAGAAGCTTATATTTGTCATATTCAACGTAGCGATACGATATTTTGGAGAGATGGTTTTAGAAACATGTTCAACAGGATACGTAGACCGCAATGAATACTATAACCTTTAAAACTTCGTACTAAAAGAAATAAAAATATAAAATTGTTTTGTGAAAATAATAAATGTCCGATTTAACTGAACAAATAAATGATAAAATTCTTCAATATTGGGTCCAAAATATGCGACTTATCCCGAAAGGGTTAATTATCATCGTTACGTAAATTGAACGCCCTCGTAAGTACGAGGCTCAGGCCAAATGGTTCAGCTGGCCCCTCCGCTATAGGACTTGAGTTATAGCCTTTCGGATTTCCATTTTCTCACGAAGAGGCTCCCACACATAATAACTTCGATCGGGCGGATAATTCCTCGCAACGATAACTCTGGAAACTCGATGGAAGCCGAGGATATTAAATTTCTCGGGCGACCAGTAAAAAGAATCGGCAATATATTTTGCTCAGAGCGGCGCGGCGGTGGTGGTTGAATGGAAAGCAGTAGTATCATAGTCTGGAATGTTTTGAAATAGCACGATCCCCACTTCGTTCCTCTACCGCTGCCGACGCTGTTCCAAGCCGCCTCCTATGACCGTCCGTCCACGTTGCACAGAAAGTTTATTGCTTTTCTCCTCAAAGTTTTTGGAGAACGTCATATATACATAGAGAAAATAGGAATATACGTTCCAGAATGATGAAAAATTTTCAGAAAAAAATGTATCGAGAAACTTGCGATTTAGTTGCCTTCAATTTATTTGAAACAATAGACGAACGTCGTATTTATTTAAACTTCGGTACCTCGTCTTTTTATTCGTCTTTTTTAATATTTCCAAAAATCGTAACTCAAAGTAATGGTTATAGATTCTGAGATTTGATTACCTACGTACAGGACAGAATTGTCATCTTGTAAGTCGTTTACAGTCCGTCAACAATTCTATATTAATTATTTGTTTAACTATTGTTTCGTTTTACAAGCATCACATTAAATATTGCAACTGAAAATATATCTAGGTATCGTAAAAAGAAAATTCGTTTTTAAAACAATTATTATAGGATACTCTAAGTCATTCATAATGGTAATGTCATCCTCATTCCTTTCCCAGTCGGCTACGACGACCGTCCGTCCACAGTCCACGAAAACTTTATTGCTTTTCCCTCAAAGTTTTTGGCAGGCTCTCCGGGCCACGTAGAAAACAGCCACATAACGTAAAGTTTAGGTAATATGCTGCTCCACAATTCATCGTCTTTCCCCGTTTTGCAATTGCACGCCATAAATCGCGGGACGCGAAATACCGACGGCGACCGATTCGAAACCACGAGTTGTTGCGTCCATCCACGATGCTCCTCAAGATTCCAAGTTTCATGCTTTTATTATTCAATATATACATGCACAAATAAACGTACCAAATGTCAAAAATTTATGTCAACTACTGTCACCAAAAAAAAAAATCATGAAAATTGCCTTGAAACCGGTACAAATAATAGAGTACCCCATCAAACTTAACTTGCTTTCGCTTGTCCTAGGATTTCCTAACCACTCGAATAAAAAACAGAACAGAATATCCTAGAACTAATAGACGAACGCGTGGCATTGAGTCAGCGGACGTTTCCGAGCCTGGTCGGTTAACCGTTTCCACGGAGAATCGCAGCATTATAGCAGCGCAAACTGGCGACGACGGCGTCTCGCTGGGTGCGAAGCTGTGAGAATTTCAACAGTTCGCAGGAAGGGATGAGAGAGAGATGGCCACCACCTCCCCTTCCATGCGTCTGAGCTTATAAAAGATATATCCAGTGCGGATAAGCCATTAGTGCAAGAGAACGAAGGAACGCAGCGTCGGCGTCGAGTGGGTCGTCACACAAAGCCAGAAGATGGTCAGTTCACTGGTAATAATATTGTGTACGCGGGCAGATCGACGTTGTCGCATGAAATTAATTGGGGGAAGAGTGAAAGGTCTGGCGCGATGCCAGCAATTCCTCGATCGATTTTTCCATATCGGATATCAATTGACAGACGATAGGAGAATTAAATCGTGGCGCGCCTCTATCGCGATTCGTACCGCGGTACTCTCAGTCGTTTCTACAGTGAAGTCTAGTTGATCGAATGCGGCGTTTATACGAGGTGTGCTAAAATTTACGGCTCAAACATTCGATGCGGTTAGTACTCGCCGGGAGAAGCAGGAAAGTGATAAGTAAGCAAAGAATTTCCTTGATTCTTTTGCTTCGAGTACTTATATTTATTTGTAAATCTACGCCGATTAAGTATATTGTGTTGGATTTGCTTTCCATCTTCTCAAAGTAGCACTGCTTATATTTATTTGGAAAAAGTATGTTTATTTTCTCATAAATTCTTCTCTATATATTAAACAAACCTGGATAATTACAATTAAAATTTCATTGTGAAAATAGTCTTTCTAAATATTGCGCAGTGATGGTTATCCCCAATTTTAGCACGGCTTGTATAACGCGAAACTTTGTGAATGTTCAAAGAGATAATGGATATTGATGGTCGGTTTCTCTATTTCAGGATGACACGGAACAAGTGAAAAGTGAGTAGTAGCCCTCGAAGAAATTATTCAAAAGCTTTTAAATTCAGCATCTACCTACTGCAATCTAATGACCGTGTTTTCGGTTAATGTATAATACGTGCTTTGGTCAAATTACAATATCCAATTTGGGGAAACAGACAGCCTTTTATCTCCTTCGTGTTTTGACCACAGTTTTTTGTACGTACCAGTTTCAAAGAAAATTCATCATCAATGATCTAATTTTTCGAATGCACAAGTTGATGTCAATCAACTAGTATACTCCGCGAGACTCTTTTTTTTTTTTTACCTATTTAATATCTATTTGGAATTTCTGACTTTTAAAATCAACATGTAGATATTTCACCCACTGGTTCGTGTCTTTCAACTTTCCAGTATACCTAGTACGTTCCTCTTTCAAACTCGATTTAAAAGTTATACAATTTTCTGAACAATCGTGCGCGCGCATCTGCGTATAGGTGACTAATTAGCCTCTTAGAGATGTGTTAATTGGTGAAAACGAGGCGGCGCGGAATCTCCGTTGGCGTGTAAATAGACGCCGCGCCGCCATGCAGTGCCCGTATATCATTGGTTGCGCGTCGCGTCAACAAGTACGGTTTATTCGTCGAAGGAAGGTCGCTGGTGTCTGAAATTTAGGTCGTGGCCGATGTGTATTTTATGTCGCCCAGACGCAGACTATACCGGTATCAAAGGGAGCGTCCACGGCACCATTGCTCATTAAGATTTGTCATCGCAGCACGGTCAGACTCGATCACCTGCCAAATCGCATCGCGAGTGGAAACGAATCGATTATTTGTTCGTTTATTTCGTTTAGGAACGGGATCAACCATAGAGAATTACGAGATACTTGAATAAAAAGAAATTAATACTAACATTCATTTAAAAGTGTTTAGAACTTCCTTCTTCCTTGAAACTTTTTACGAAAGGATTACACCTACCATCTGTACTCTTCAACTGTAGGAAAAATGAAATCGATATGTTCATTAGCTTCCGAGAAAGCAGTTTGTAATATTTTATATAGGTCGCCCTGTGTATATTATTTAAGTACATGCTCAAGCAACAATGTAATTCTCTATACATATATTAATTTTGTTAGACCACGGGATTCATCTCGTTGGTATGTGAATGGAAATCAATGGAAATGGACTATACAGCGAATGTAAATTATTAGTATTCGATATAATATTCAATGAATCTGCACTACAATGTTGTGTGTTCACATTCACCAGTGAAAGTGTGGATGCTCGATAACAATTTCACCATTTTGAAAATGGGTTTTTAATTCAACGTTTTTAATTCAATGCTCATGTAAACAATGACTGTCGGTGTCACCAGACAGTAATTAATACGATATCATAATTTATTAAAAGGAAACGAAGCTAGTTCGGCTGCCTTATTCGCAATGCGTACGCATACTCAACAAATCATACTTTTAAAGAATGGTGCAATTTCTATGGGCCCTATTGTCCTTCCACTGGCAATCATTAGTCAATGTTGCACAATATGATCATCCATGCGCAGCTGTTGCAATTACTAGAAACTTTCTATTGTTCTAGAAAACAGAACCAAACCAACCCAGATCATTACTCTTTCCTCAGAAGGGTCTGCGTTGGGCTGGTTCTGTTCTCGAGACAATGAAAGATTTTACAACAATCCGAATAACAATTTCTGTGTTTCAATAAAACCACAGTTGCATTCACAGTGACGCACAGGACCGTAACTCTGACAATACCGAAGCACGGGTCCATAATCGTGCTCATAGATTGGATTCCTCGATGGAGTTTCACGGAGAGTTGTGAGGTCTTGTGCGTGTCCCGCGTCCGCCCACGCGTTTCTGTCGGCACACGTTGCGCAATCAGACTTCCTATCGCAAAATAAACCGCTGATTGACTCGGCCGCGTTATATTAATACACGCGGCTCTGGCACCGTGTGTAAATAAATGCCAGTGGCCCGACCGAAGATACGTTCTCCCAGCTCGCGTTACGCGCTGCTCTAGAATTTTCGTGGAATTTCCTAATTCTGGTGTCGCGAAGATATAGCGCGGCTAGAAAGTTTAAGGGGCTCGTCAGGCCTCCCAATGCTAGAAACGAACCTTCCTTTGGACGTTACATCGCTGGAAATTTTATCATTGCTATGAAATATCTTACAAAACGTGGTTGATGGTTGGTGGAATAATTAAAATTATTCTTATATATTAAAATTCTTATCTTTGATCTTTGAGCGCTTTTCGCGTAAGTTTCGCGAGAAACCTAATCAACGAGACAATAAATTGTCTTGAAACTAGTACGTATTGGAAAAGATATGGCGATCACGAAGCTCAAGCTTCATCGTTTCGCAGTGCCATCGAAACTGTGATTCGTTGTATTTTATAGTGCTCAAGAGGGCTTTCTCCATGTTCGACTCCGCCAAGTCGGGAAGGATCGAGAAGGAAAAAGTTCGGACGATCCTGAACACCCTGGGGCACACTTTCGACGACCACGAGCTCGAGGTGCTGCTCAAGCAAGAGGACGACGACGGTATTGTATATCCGACTTTCGAGAGTTTCAATTGCCGTGAGCGGCGCCAGCTCTGGCCAGATTCCATTGCCATTCCGTGCGTTTTACAAGCGACTTTTGGGCCGGTGCTGGCGCTTCGTCGATCGATGCCTACGTGTCGACCTAACCGGGGCCAAATTATTTATGATACAATGTCCAGTGACGTATAGAGGTAACGAAAGTTGCACGACAGGGATGCGAAAACATCAGCTTTCCGAGTCGAAGAGATCTTTGCTAGACGAACTTTGAGGTATCGGCCCGTCGATCTTAATACTTTTGACAATAGACGTTTCAGAATTAAAGATGGAACCGTTAAAGTCTAACATAGCTATAAAAAAAAACAAAAAATAATGAAAGGTTAGATTTAAAATTCATAAGGACAAAGAATTCGGAGCAATTCGAACGTGAATATGTTAATATCTCACCAAGTAGTAGATTGGGCTTATATTTAATTATACAGGAGGATCTGATCGTGTCTAACCGAACAATGGAATGATCGTAGAATATTTATGTCTAGTAAGATAGTAGAACGTGAGTATGCTAAACGAGACACTAGAATACATTCATGCTGTACCAGGCGATAGAAGAAGCCCGTGCCAACCGAGTAGTAGAATATGCCCGTCTCTAGCCAGACAGTAGAAAATGAACAATAGTGGATCAGATATGTGTCTAATGTGATAGTAGAGTATATATACATGTATATTGCTACTTTTTATGACTGTGCAAATAAAACAGTTCCATATCTATGCGGACTAGTAGAACAGGTCCATGTATGGTCAGACAATAGTATTCATCGACAGCGTACAAATAATCTGTCACGAACCGTTCTGGTTATTATTTTGTCATTTTCAGATGTACTAAAACATTAAGAAAATCTATGAAGAAAAGTACAAATACCTATTTGAATAACGTATACAGTAAAAGAATGAAATAAGAGTAACGAAATATCGTACATATTAACATTTTCTTTTCAATACAGTTATATAGGTTTAATATCGATGAATATTATACGAATGTTTACAAGGGCTACAGGTATATTTGATCACATTTGAGAAACAAAGAAATTATTATTGGATTTCTCGTTTCTATTTAAAATAGTGACGATGTAGTGCCGTTATTTTAATTAGGCCATCCTATGTTATTGTGCAAGCAACTCGTCGGTCAGGAGTAAATATCTCGTAAGAAGATAAAAAGGGCCGACTAGTCGATTTAAAAGTACTAAGTTCACTCGACCGACGGCGAGTGGTCGTTGTTAATCCGGATAGCGGCGAAGTAGCAACTTTGCGCAGTCCTTAATGCTGTTGCGAAGTGGTTGGCGAAGTATCTTTCAACTAAGAACTTCACCGTGGACTCGCCAGCTAACAGCTTCATTTCAACGAAACAAGTACGATCCATCGGTCTAAAGTGAACAATAATACTATATATTAATTGAGAACAAGAGATAATTTTACAAATAGACCAGAATTTATCTATAAAACGTCAAAAATATTTCACACCGATTACGATGAGAATCACGCGTGAGTTTATTGTAACGAACAGCTAATTAATTTAATTTAATACCGTATTCCTATTCCTCGTATATTATTCTATTGGAATTTTGCCCATCTCTACGTCACACACGTGGCAAAACGTGGCATGATTCATGTAACTCGCGCAAGACATTACCGCGTTCTGCAAAGCGCAGTGAACCCTGTTAAGTTTCTTTTCGTATCTGATTTTCACTGCAGCCACCGTTCCGGGATACACGAATGCGCCGGACCGATCGCGAGGAACGATAGTCTGTTGTCCTTTACAAATTTCAAATTTATTCCCCGGCCTTGCGTAAACGGAACCGCCTTGGACGGCTACCAAGTATATTGTCTCGGATGTTTTCCTATCGATAAAAAGCGACCGCGAATCGGAAACGAAATGGAGGCCCCGAGGAGAGTTGTTTACATCGGCAACGGTCGGCGGAGAGGGGAGGCGAGGGTGTCTTTCTCCGCGGCGGGATAGTGGTTTTTTAATCGTGGACCGTCCCGGCTTTCAGGCAGCGGTAAATTAAACTTCGACTCGTTCTTCCGGGTGGCCTCTCACTTCCAAGAGGAGGACGACGAGGCGCTGCAGAAGGAACTGAAAGAGGCTTTCAGGCTCTACGACAAGGAAGGCAACGGCTATATTCCCACCAGCTCTTTGCGGGAGATCCTCGCCGCCCTTGACGACCAGATAACGCCTGATCAAATGGACGGCATGATCGCTGAAATTGATACCGACGGCTCCGGCACTGTTGACTTTGACGGTGAGCACGCTCTGCTTTCTCCATTTTCCACGGTTGCCTCGTGGAAAATGATCGGACGATGACGTCTTCGCGTGCGTTTTATTGAAAGAACTATTATCGTACGTAAAGGAAAAAAGAAAAGGTTTTCTTTTAGTATTTTTACTTCACGTAACAAAAAATTGCGGAACTAATAAATAAAATCTTGTTTGTTCATTTTTAATCATTTCTTTGTTGGTGTAGCCACGCGAAACCGTGTTTTATTTTCCACGATTTTCCATTTGAAATATAAATTCTATTCAATAATTCTAAATTATGCACACCGCTTAATCACCGATTAATCATCGCTTCCATCATTTTTCCAAACTCGCCACTAGTATTCTGAGCGCAACGAACCCCCTGTAACGTTTACGACCGCCAGCAGGTACGTCTTAATTACGTGAAGCTCTTTTGGCAGCGGAAAATCTCACGAAGCAATGGGAATAGAAAGTTACGATATCGGCGGGGCCAACTTTTTCGTTGGCTTCGCGTCTATAGAGCTCGTTACAGCGGTTCGTACGAGGGCTTGATTAAACCCCGAACGTCTTAATACCGGTCTTTCTAAAGCCCCTTTCAAAAAACTTGAAGGAAGAGGGGGGGGGGCAGGCAGCGAAAAGGGGCAAGGATACGACCTACTTGCTTTCCAGGAGGAACATTCGTCGCGTAAGACGACGAAATGAAAAGGGTGCTCGTCCTCCGCGATCTTTAGAACCGCGTCGCACTCGATGATCCCATCGAGGAAGAATACACTGTTGAAACGAAGGCTGAACGTCTTGTTAACCGTGTCGATTGTTGCCTTTCAGAGTTCATGGAGATGATGACCGGCGATTAAACCTCAACACGGACTCATTACCTCGGCGTGAAAGAAACGCTTGCATTTTCTTTCAACGATCCTGCAATATTGTCCGACGGCGCCGGCTCACCCACGACAATCGGGATCAGGATCGAAGGAACATCATCGAACATCGTTTCACCTGTACATTTGCGCATCATGTATCGACATCGTTAATTAAGTATTCGATTAAACGCTGTTTTCAAAGATCGCACGTTAGATGTTTTCATTCGAGACAAAATAACGGTACCAACTTTTTAATGTTCAGAAATTGAAGTAAACTACAGAGAATCGTATACGCGATCGAACAGAAAATGACGGCAGCAGTTTATCTTCGTTTTAAAACCGAAACAATAATTTGTGTCCAAGAAACTCAAACTTCTAATAGAAGAATGGCGACTAAATCGAAAATCGATGAAACCTACGTGGTCTGCAGTGCAAACAAATTCAAATAAAAATAAGGGATTGGTTTCTACGTTAAAGTTCGTACAACAGAGAGTTGACGTAGCCGCATTTTTATTACACCCGGCCATGTGTGGCGAATGGACATACACAGCTGGGGGTCACGGTGCCACCCCGAGTCTATCGGAAGCTGAGAAAATATTCGAATCGGTTTCCTTTCTCGCGGCGGCGCGTGAAAATAGGTCTCGCCTCGAAGTTTCGTCGGATCGCCCTCGGTGCGCCTAATAATTTCCTGTCTCCTCGAAAGCGGGGGTAAAGTTGCAGGGTATATTAATCGAGAATCTCTGGCGAGCGAATCGCTGAGCGTGCAGGGGGCGCGTGTTCGAATTCCGTGAAGGCCACTTATTCGATCAACTCGGGCATCGACTCATGGCAAGGTTCGAGGCTAGCTTCGTGCTTTATAGCTCCGTGGCGTGCATGTATCATTCGGGTTATCGAGCTTATAGACAGCGATACCGCTTAGCTGGTAACTCGATAGCATCGAGCCGACGCGAACCGTCCATTGAAATCCTTGCCTTTCCACCGATAGCTGAAGTTTCGAGTGTAAAATTCAGCAGAATGTCAAGCAGCTCTTTGGCAGCGAGATTCAACGACCGACGCAAAATTGTGATAGAAGGAGGGACACGAAATACGAACACTTACACGGTTTAGAGATCGTTTAAATTTGCTGTTTTAGTTTACTACGGATGAGATGCTCAAGTGTTGTTTATCATATGCTTTGGGTTGGCCAGATAGTTCGTGCCAATTTTAAAAAAAAACTCAAAGATATATTCAGACCTGTACCACCTACCAAAAATCGGTACGGACTTTCCAGATAACCCAATAGCTTGTGTAACAAGAAAGACTCAAGAATAAATGTCCCTATAACCCGTAAGACGAGAAATGTACGGCATCATAAAGAGTTAAGCCTTAAGAGTTCTTTGAAGAGTTCTCATTGTTTTAATTTATTACGGTCGAGGTACCCCGGTGTTGTTTATAATAGCTTCGTCGGAACGAATGAACGTCCCTAAAAACCACAAGGGAACGTACGGAATGAAATACACTTTTATTTGCTCGCTACTTTTTTGAAATCAAGAACAGTAATTTTTATCTCACGAATGAACCACTCGGCTCGCAGACAATGTTTCGAAATCTCCTGAATTTTCAGGTTCGTGAACGTTTCTCGTGGGGATAATACCCGCCAAGCGAACGGGTAGACTTAAACGTTCCTATTCGTTTCCAGGTGAAAATTTACGATGATCATGAATTACCTTTTGCGCGCCGTTTAAGGCGAGCGAAATAGGATCTCTAGTCTCGTTAATATTTCCAAAGGCTGTATGCATAATGAGAGGGATTCCAGCGGTATCCAACGACATTCTATTACGATAGAAATTCCACTTCTTATCCTTTATATACATTCGATGTAAAACACATCATATTTTTTTCAAAACGAACGACCTTCAAAAACGTCCGTTCAACGTAACAGACTGCAATAAATACCAAATAGTCGAAGATACTTCGTAGAATTCCAAATTATAGAATTAAATTTAATACGACTGCAAAGGGTTAATATTTCCTAGAGAAGGGGCCAACTACGAGTATCGGGAATGGTTAACGCACCAGTGCCTGTATCGACGCAACGACAAATATAAATTCTCTGTTGAAGAAAATGGTGTTGCCAGAAGACCGACTCGACGATACATCCTTGCTCGAAGGAGAAGTCTCTGGCAATCTTCAAAGATGAAACTGTCGCCGAAGGATCGACAGAGTGAATGGGATTGAGCGAAGAGCCCACCGAGATCCAGGGAGAACGCCCAGGAACACCCTCGGCCGCCCATCTCCCATGCTCTGCTTTCGGCTTTTACCCCTCGCCGTCTCCATCTTTCTTCCCTTCCTTCCCTTTTCCTGGCCTCCCGTTTCTCTTCCCCACGCCAGCCAGGACCACGGCTCCATGCCTGGCCCCGACCGCTTCACCCACTCAAGTTTTGTCCGAGTGTTTGCAAGCGAGACCCGGAAACTGCTTCCGAAGGATCAATAATTGGGGCCAACTGCAACCGCCCTTGAAAAGCTAAACCCCCGTTGGGGAACGGGGTGATCGGTACGCCTTGAAAATGGACCCAAGGTCTCATTGCTTAAGGAGCACAGGCCCTACGGGGTGGTCAATAGAGTTGTAACAGTGTTTCTCAACCTAGACGACCTGACGTCCATTTCGTTTATATAGATCGCTGAAGATGGCCAAGAGAACTTGGTTTAAACGTTTATTTGACATTCTATTAATTAAAAATTGGAACGAAGTCATGGCAAATTCGTAATTTTGTAAAGCACGACGTCTCGAAGGTTTCGAAACACATCGACCAAATTTCCAAGGCGGTCTACGACGGGGCAAAATGAAAACGAGGGTCAAGTTGAATTTTTGGTCTCTTTCGCTGAAGTTTTCCTTTTTTCCATGTATTTCTGGAGGGTTACGTTGCTTTCCGTTTGAAAACAGAAGTACGTTCTCGTTCCCGAGGGGAAAATTACTCTATATGTGTCCCGTTGCAAAAGTGTGGTAAGACTTGTCACGCTGAGAAACAAAAGAGAGGGGTGTATATATACTCCGTGAAGAGCAATTACGATAATTGCGACCTGGATTGCTCGTCTTTATACCAGCGACGACGTCATACGCTACGTTTCCGTTTGCCGTGTATCGTGCGAGCACGTCGCGACGTAAACTTGAACAACTTGCCGCTTACTTCGATGGAATTTTATTTTATTCCTTAATAACGAGATAATTTGAATTTGTAAAGTCCGTCGAGTTTAACGAATGGACGACCATCGATCGACGCTGATCGACGGATACTTGATGCATTCCACAGAAGAAAACAACTTGACAGATGGCCACGTGACACGTGCGTGCTAGACTTAGATGTATACAATTATTAGTTGAATAAATTTTGTTCTTGAATAAAATATTGACACAAGAAGAAGATCACGAAAGTTCAAGTAACATGCATTTGTATAATTATTCGGAATCAAAATTTTGAAAAGAGACCTTTGCCAGATAAGTTAAATGGTATGTCCAATATCTTGAATATTTGATTTCATAAAATATTTGAAAGATTTGAAATACACGAAGATAAACACTACAAACTGTGGATGAATTCCTCAACGACCACGATTACAGAGATTAATATCACAATCCAACGGCGTCGTCAGTCTTGAAACGAAACACGAAAGATCCAGCAAACGGGAGAGGGACGGAATGAGCATGGAGAACATCGTGACCTTGGAACATGTCACTGCACTTAGGCTACGGGGCGAGAAGCGACTCGGACTCGATTAATAATTAAAGCAACGGCCGCGACGACATCGAGGAAGAAGGGTGCAGCCGGGCTATCGATCGTCGTCCTCAACCCGAACCATCCTCAACCTGAACCTACTGCTTGCCCCACTACATTCAAAGGCTCTCTCCGTCGTCTCTCTCTCTATTGCTTTTATACCCAACGACTACTTGTCAGAAGGGTGCTCCGAACGAGGGCCTAGGATGCCATTCACCCTGACTTTCTTCTCCCTAATCCGCGGCGCTGGGCGCTTTTTCGGCTCGTTTGTTTCCGAAAGTGGCTCTTTCTCGTCCCCAAAATGGATCCTGCCCGGTGGCGACGCGCTCATATATTTTGCTACGCGAGAGGAATTCCGTCCCGGCACCCCGGAAGCGATTGATCGACCCCGTCCACCGACCAAACTCGCAACGGGGACAGTATCGATGGCTCCGCGAACGGAATATTTTTCTCGCTACGTGAACGGTCTGTCGATATCAGCCAGTGTTCGAGGCCCGTTCGAAGACCCGTCGATGGATGCGTTGGGTCGACTGATAATCGTCGTTTCTGATATTCTGCACGCTATAATGAAATATTCCTATTACATATCTAACTACATACTTTGACACTGTGGTAAGTGACTTAACCCATTCACCGGCAGGAAAATTTAAAGCGTTTTGCGTTGGGCGCCAAGATTTCTTCAATCTTCTTTTACAATAATTCGTGACTCGAAAGGCTATAAACTTATAGTCCACATAATGGAACAACAAGTGGTTAACGCTAATTTTTATTTAATACTTATGCTAAATGAAGTTCCGTCTATTTATCATCATTCCGACCATCAGTATACTGCTGGATAAACTACCGATAGCCCAGACTGCCTATTTCACAGAAATTTTCCTACCCTACCGAGAAATACTCATCGCTAACTGTTATACGCTGTCGTTGTTCGTGACCTATTGCCTCTAAACAAAATTTCTTGAATCCGAGCTGGTGCCTGCGTTGGATGGCCGTTTCTTCGAACGAAGGTGGCCAGGAATCGCCTGGGGGACACGTTCGATTCGTGTCGAAAAGCGCAGCCGTGACACCACACCCCGTCGCTCGCATTGCAGTCCGGTGGTGTCGGGGATAAAACGATCCCCGTCTAAATAGCCCGAGGTTCGCGGTTCGCGTAATTAATATGCAAAGCCGCGGGGAACCGCTGCGGACGAAGGAAACGATGACTGAAAGTCGAGGCGGGAATAAATTACGAGATTCGCAGGAGATTCGTTTCCGAGGAGCGCGGAATGAAAGTGGGCGGGTAACGCGCAACCCTTTTACGCCCTGGGTGTCTTTGTTCAGCCAGCTGAATCTGCCCGAGAGCGTCGCCGAGCCTCTCGAAACAGATTTCCGCGCCACGGTAATTGCACACGAGTAATTGCACTACTACCCGAATATATGAAACGGAGTCGTTCCCACCACTACTTTCATTT